TGTCTTCAGAATTGTTTCCACTCTCTCACAGGTATGGGTTTCTGAAAGCTTCCGTGGCAACCTCTAGTTTGGAAATAAATAATATACTTTGTAGGTGGAAGAGACTATGGTATAGGGGAGCCACATACAGGCAGTTTTTAAAGAGGCACCATTTCCAGAGTCTAACTAGAAGACATGCTACTAGCCTCACAATTCTTTATGGCTCCCCTATGTTTTAGACTCTCCTAGCCACTTGCTACATCTTTGCAGCCAAAATGGAGGCCATTAAGCAGACTTTCAGAAGCCTATACAGTACCTGTGAAGGAATGAAAACTCCTGTGAGGATTTTGATTTCTTCCCTGTAGCATTTAGAATTCTGGTTTGGAGAATTCTTGATGAATTATGGGTGTTGCAGTGCAAAAAGGAAGGAAGGAAATAAAATAAAATAAAATAAAGTCCAGTGCCTAATTGCAGATTATTCCACTTGAGTCTATCTAGACAAAAAAAGACATAAATTTCTCTTGGTCACCAAGTGACTGAGAAATATGGTGTGCTCCTGAATAGACAATAAATTAAGGCTGACAACATTTAGCTAGTCTCTGAAAGGAGGCTATTATACTCCAGGGACTGTATTGGCATTTAACACAAAAGTAATTCCAGTGATTTTATATGATAATGCAGTGTAGGTAACTGGGGTATACAGAGAAACTAGACCACCCCTCCCCTCCTTTTCTAGGATGCAAATGAATATCCCATGTTTTCTGGAAAGTGTAGTATGTGTGGAGTTTGCTCAGCCTTCTATCAATGGAAGAGCATAGAAACTGGCATTTCATTTAAGTCTGAAAGTCACCTTTTCTGAGGGCTCTTTTCTTGTCCTACTGTGGGAAGATCCTTTTAGATCCTCCTGACAGAAACCAACAGATAGCAAGCTAGAAGTCCTGAGTTTATCACAAGAATTAATTAGGAAGATGGGCAAAAGGTAATTAAGATTATATGAAAGGAGGCAGATCCACCAAATAAATTTGGCAGCACTCAAATAAGAGTTTGGTGAGTATGTTCTCCCTCCTTCATTCATATCTCTATTCCTAAGACAGTTCCATCATATTTTTCCATCAAACTATTCCTTGTTACTGCAGAGCATTTTTATTTGCGAGACTAAATATTGTTCCTTCAAGGGAAATGCAGGGAAGGGCAACCAGCACTAGTTTTGATTTTTTTTTCACTTCTCCTGTATCTGTGCCCTTTTTATGCAACTCTGGAAGATTGTTTTTTGTCTTTGCACCATCAAATCTCTGTCTGAGAGGTGCACTCCATCATGCTACAGAACTCCAGTTGACCCATGCTCATTTCCTGGTAACGATTCACTGATTCAAGGCCATTGAATACTGCTGATGCACTTCACTGCTAACACTCCTCCACGCAGTATTAACCCACTGGCCATGCCAGCATATCTCAGGCCCCTCCATGCGGATTCTGGTGACCGTTCACCAATCCATGGCCATTGAGCACTGCCCGATACACTTCACTGTCAATATTTCCATGCAGTGTTAACACGCTGGGCATTCCAAAAGAGCTCAGGCCAAACCACATGGATCTCCTGGTGACCAATCACCGATCCTTGGCCATTGCATCCAGCTCTGTGTACTTCTCTGTTAACACTTCTCTGCGCCGTGTTAACTCACCAAAATGACCAGTTAGACCTGTACTAAAAACTAACTCCAAACTCATTACTCCTGCTTCACCACCCATTTACTGTGGAAAGGCAGCTGAGACCTTTCTCAGTATTGTATAATCCATGCAGGAATGCACAACCCGGTACCACTAGCCTGCGTGCATCTTTTTAAAATTATTATTATTATTATAAATTGCAAGTTCCTGCAGGTCTTAGCAACACTTTCCCACTTTAATATCAAACTGATCTGAATGCAGTGTCGGTCCATTTGCCACCTGGCAATCTAAAGGACTGCATCTTTGTGTCTAACTCTTATTTACGAAAATTGTGAGGGAAGCGGCTGGTTGCTCAACTTTTCCTGCTGCTAAGGGTAACCCAATTCACACGGCATTGCATGGAAGCTTCTAATATGAATTTACATATGCTAATATCGCATTTCAGAGACCCTACCCTTACTCCAACCTAGGAAGCATACATGCTGCCTTGTCAATTAAGGCATAACTTACTGTGCATAATTCCGGATGAATGACATTATTTGCTGACTCACCTCTGGGCAGTACAAATGATGTATGAGCCAAACTCCTTGATTCTTTTGGAAATAATGCCCTGTAATAAGACCCGAAGGTCCTCCACAGAGCGTATGTAAAATGTCCCAACATCCCACAATCCTTACCACCTGTGCAATCTCATCCGATTCTATGACTTCCATCCCTGTGCAATTTTCCGATTTTGGGCCAGGAACATCTTGCATTCTCCTACAGCCGGTATCTTGAAACCATTCCTAATACCTTCAAAGGGTGAA